TTCCTAAAATTCTTGTGATTTACATGCTCTTCTTCATTTGCATTTTTGTCAGTCCAAATTATACCAGATATATTTTGAGTTCCAGGTAAGACAATTAGGTGAAATTACCATATACAAAGTGAAAACAACATGATGTTTCTATTCTAAAGGATGCGGCACTTAATTATGACAATTACTCTTGAAAAAGATGTTAATGCCTTATCGAATGACTAACCTAATGGGCATATTATCCATTATATTTTTTAGTCAAAATTTCAAAAGCCAACTTGCTCACCCCAAGGCTTTTTTCTCGGTCCATAACTTTCAAATGGTCTCGCCGTTATAATTGGGGTGGAATCATCCCCATAGTCGATGAAGGGGAAATCATCGATGCCCGAATCAGCAGAACTGACCGCCGACGAGCTCATCACGTCTCGTAGCGGTCTCGTCTTCACATCCAATACTTTCTGCGCTTTTGTTTCACTTCTTCGCCGTGCACTTGCTACGAGTTGGTTGAAGTAATAGTCAATAATATGTACAATTTCCGTATACATGATGAGTAGCAATTAAAGGACGGAGTGGGAAATGGTAATGATGTCAGTTTGCAGTGACTAGTTAGTCGAAATAGGAAAAAGCAGGGATTTTAGTCATGGCACGTTTACAACGTCCAATGCAGCAGCTTCCAGCTCTATTATATGCACCGCCTCCAGCTTTAACGCAACGAAACACTCGACCGACTCGGACAACTGCCAAAAATCTCGTGGTTAATGAAAAAAAGGGAAGAACAGTCATTGCGGTGAAATTAAGTTATCTGAGGAAAACTCGCCCAATACATAGACATCCGCTCTACTGTAAACAATTTGTTACGGGGCCATCTGTCGCAATAGATTGCTTTCAGAACTGGAGCATTTATGATTTTCAACGTGCTTACATTACTCAGGAAGTAAGGCACGTCTATTAGAATTCTCATCATCTTGAAGGTGATTTTTGATTGCATACAGCGGAAGTGCAAGTAGCGAGCATAATAAAATGAAATGGGCCACTTCTGCAGTGTAATCAATGTGCTAGAAGCAAAAGGAGCATCATCACTAAGAAATATTGGCTAAGATGTAAGGATTTGGTAAAAGCGATTCTAAAAGATGCTCTCAAATATTTTTATTTTGCTCATTTCAATGACTAAGCGCTAAAGTAACTTCCTATCATTTTGGGATGGATTATCGCGACATTTTCTTACTGAATGCTACGAAATCTTATATTTTTATGCAAACATCTTGGCAAGTAAACACTTTTTCCTCTCAAAATGGAGCAGACCAAATTTTTATGAATCAAGGTCATATTTGGCATAAAAGCCTCTACTTTTTAATGTTGAAAACTCAACTCTAACTCCTTCGTAAATGTTCAACAACAATTTCGAGATTTTCCAACTTTCCTCATTAAAAGATATTCAAAAATTGAACGCTAAATCAAATTTCGCAGCCACCGAAACCCACTATTGTCAGGATTTTGAGAAATTCAATTTCCCAGAATTTCTTTGTGGTCCACAGGGAGATTATCTCGACCAGAAATCCATTCCTTCTCTACACTTCACTAATGTAATCTCTAACTTTTACAGTATTCAAAAATTGACTGAATCAACTGACAAGT